TCGGACGCTTAACCGACTGCGCCACCCAGGCGCCCCACACTGTTTATTATAGATAAATAAAATGAAATGAAATGAAAACAAACAAAAAAATTAAAAATATATATATAAATAAAAATTAAAATAATAAATAAATAAGGAATAGAAAAGAATAAGAAAATAAGTGAAAAAAAATAAAATAAAGAATATAAGTAAAAAGGAAGTGAGATCCTATTTCCCCTAGGGCTGAAGCTTGCCTCACTCTATGATCAGTAGACTTGGTGTGAGTGAGTTGTTTGTGTTGGTCTTCTGGGGGAGGGGAATGCTGGGCTCATTCTCCTGCTGTCTTGTTCAGTGGAAATGCACCTCCAGGGCACAGGGTGGGTGAGGCTTGGTGTAGGTAGCTTAGGCCTCCACTAGGTGGTGCTGATTTGCTCCTTGAAGACTTACAGCGCTGATGGGTCGGATGACTATGGTGGTGCCACATTCTTTAGCTCTGGAGCTGAAAGTTTGTGCCCCCCCACTCTTTGGGGGAACCCTCACAGAAGAGCAATCAGTCATCCCTCTTGTGTCCCTGGTTTCTGTCAGGACCCTGCGTTCACCCTGCCTGTGTCCGAGCTTCTTTTATCGCAGGCGTGTGACTGAGTTTCAAAACTCCAAATTTTAGAAACTTTTGCAGCCTGGACCGGTGCTGTTCCTCTGGGGGAGGGTCTTGCCATACTTGTGCAACAGCACAAGTGTTTGCCAGCCCATGCTAGGAAAGTGATCACATGATCATGCAGTGGTTCAGAGTTTATAGCAAAGTAGAGCAGAAAGCTGGCACCCTGGCTCACTGCCCTCAGCCAGAGACCCTGCTCCTGTGCCTGGGAACAGTGCAGCATGTGGGAGCCATCCATTCTTCTTGCGACCCAGGGGATCCTCAGTCCATACTGTCACTGCTGGGACTCCGCCTTGCTTTGCCACCCGAGTACCTTTAAGTCAGGCACGTCCCATGGTAGTGGACTTCTGAAGACTCAGACTTTGTGCCCTGCTGCTTATAATACTTTGTGGTAGTCTCCATGAGCAGGGCTCCCTCCCCGCTGGTGTACCCACAGTTATATCTCCCCTGAGTCAACGCTCAGCACTTCCTGCCTTCCAAAAGGTGGTGGCTTTTCTACTTGTAGACCACCAGTTTTTGTTCTCTCAGATGTCTGATTGATTTCTTGGGTGTTCAGCATGCTTTGATAACTGTCTAGCTATGTTAGAGGGATGCACCAAGCTTAGGGTCCCTCTATTTCTCTGCCATCTTAATTCCTCCTCCAAGAATCTGCACTTCTAGAAGCTCCCTGAGATAGTCTGTGGGTTGTAGTTTGGAACAAACTATCCTAGGTGGTTTGTCTGGGATAGTTTCCTGTTTCAGGGTATATAGAGGCAGAAGAATAAACTTGGATGAGTCTTCCTTAGTGAATCTCAGACTCTGGAAATGAACTATTTATGTTTTTAAAAAGATTTCAGAATATTTGGAAAGATTTCAAGAGATCATCCTCTTTCTAAAATTTTCAAGGTTATACATTTAATAATAATTTTGTCCTAATGGAGCTATTTTCCCCACTGATTCAGTATCAACCTGACACTTGTTTCTCAATTCGTTCCACTGTAAAAGTAGGATAATAACCATAGTTACTTCCCTGGTAGTGGTAACGATGAATGAAGCAAGTTATGAAAAATAATTGGGACGACAAAGAAATTGGCAAACTTTCTCCCTAAAGGGCCAGATAGTAAAATATTTTAGGCTTTGTGAGTCCTACTGTTTCTATCACAGCTGCTCAACTCCGCCATTGTAGCTTGCAAGCGGCCACAGACCGTCAATGTATGTTGTGACTGTGTTCCAATAAAACTTTATTTATAGAAATAGGTAGTACACTGGATTTAACCTACCGGAAGTAGTTCACCTTCTCTTGCTATACAAGATTGATAAATTCTATTATTATTATTAATGATTTAAAGGCTTGCAAATCATCTTTAATAATTAGCAAAATAATCAGTTTTTAATCAAGAAGTATACATACCATCTGCAATTTTTTCAAAGGAAACTGCTTATAGGAGCAATGAAAACAAATGTGGCATTTATTTATTTTTTTTAATTTTTTTAAATTTTTTTATTTTTTCAACATTTTTTATTTATTTTTGGGACAGAGAGAGACAGAGCATGAACGGGGAAGGGGCAGAGAGAGAGGGAGACACAGAATGGGAAGCAGGCTCCAGGCTCTGAGCCATCAGCCCAGAGCCCGACGCGGGGCTCGAACTCACGGACCGCGAGATCGTGACCTGGCTGAAGTCGGACGCTTAACCGACTGCGCCACCCAGGCGCCCCAACAAATGTGGCATTTAAATGGTGGTGTTATTTCAATGGACTCTAAAGAAATAAAGCTTCCACTGATAGCGATTGTCATTACATTGCTCTAGGCACTTCAGAAACAAATCCAGGCCCAAGTAAAGAACAGTGTCCACAAAGGCTTTGGAAAAGTAAGAGGAGACGTTTGTCTAAATCTCTAATCTCTGACCTTTTCCCTCTTCAGAAGGCCTTGGTCTGGGTTTAGGGCATAGTTTATCTCCCAAAGCACACTTCATGGAAAGAATGGCTGTAGTGGACAGATAAACTGGATGTTTATTATGTTGCTCAAAGCTTACTGACATTGAATTGCTTGTGTCTTTTTTTAGATTTCAGTTCCAAGAAAATGTGTCTCCTAAAAAACTGGTATGCTTCCTTTCATCAGATGACGGAGATTACATATTGTTTTGCCTTTGCCTTGATTATAAAGTTAGAGCTATATACAAGGCTCAATCATTATAATGCTTTTCATCTACTTGGAACATATACTTCTTCCTTGGTGCTTATTTTTTCAAAATGTCAGTGGCTATTTGAAATGTTCTTGTATAGGTGTCTCGCACTGTTAATCCCTTCAAATGCTTTTTAGATCTAGCTGGACTATAAACCAAATATTATGAATCAATTAATTGGGGGTGCCTGGATAGTTTGGTTGGTTGAATATCTGACTCTTGATTTCAGCTCAGGTCGTGATCTCACAGTCGTGCGATCAAGCCCCACATTGGACTCCACGCGAAGTGTGGAGCTTGCTTAGGATTCTCTCTCCCCTTGTTCCTCTACTCCTCTTCCCCACTCATGTACTCTCTCTCTCTCACTCCAAAAAAAATTAATTGATCATATTTGCAAGAAGAGTGCTATTATCTGTGTTAAGTTCCTCCCAAAGCAACATATATATGATTATAAAGAAAATTAACTGTTAATAAGTACTTGATCAATAATAAGGGCTTTTGTCAATAAGTAGATTCTGCAGAAAGGTTATGATCTGCAGTTCTAGAGTCAAGCAAAACTGGGTTCAAATCCCAGCTCCATGACAAGACCAGCTGTATGGTCTTGGGCATGTTACCCAAATGCTCTGAGTCTCAGTTCCATCATCTGACAAGTGGGTATGATAGCCACACCCATCTAACAAAATTATCGCAAGAATTAAATGAAGTAAATACTATACTGTGCACTTAGCACAATGTCTGGTCAGTGGTAAGTACTAAATATGTATATAGCTATTATGGCATGTTTATTTTTATTTTTACAGTGGTTTTATGTCAAAGTATCAGAAACGTGGCTGTTGGCTCAGCTTTCAACATGAGGTGCTAGAAGTCTGTCACATCATTGCCATCGTTTTTTGAGTCTATCCTCTCATTGTTATCTCCAGGATTTTTGAGCAATGCCCCACTAAGCAAATGGAGCATGACGTAACACCCAAGGACTTTGTTACCAAATACAGTCTGGGTAAGGGGACTATTAAGAGGATCATGCAGGGGATTAGATATTTACTCACTGTTGAAATTTTCCAATGTTTTAAGCCATGGGGCCTGCTTTTCATTCTGTGCATTTCTATTTTTTTCCACACAACTGTGTTATGTAAGGGCTGGCAGCACTATGTACATGGCCATGTTATTTGTCCTTTTGGAGAATCTGGCGAACTTGAGGAAAGGTTGGAATGGCCAAGAAATTTCATGACGCCATTTTGGTGTTTTACACGGACCTAATTCTGCTAATTCTCTACAACCACCTCTCTGTTCCTCTCAGCTCTGAAACATAGAATCTAGATTTAATATTTTTTCTTTTAGCCTTTTTTGTTTTTAAAGAGGAGCTGACTGACACTAAAGTCAAAAGCCTTACTCTGACAGATTAGAACCACTGAAGCTGGAAAAAAAAGGCCATAGAAATAGCAAGAAGCCCCAGGATTTTCAACAGGAAGGAAACTAGGAAATTAGATGAGGTTGTTAGTGCCCGTGTCTTTAAAGGCTTCAGTATCCTCTTTTTCTGAGTGACAATGGCACTTCTGGCTCCCTTCCACTGCCCAGGCCCAGTGAGCCGGTACTGGTAGGAGTTGCAGGGTCCGAAATAGAGCTTCACGGCCAGTTTGGGATCTTTTAGCAGGAGAGACAGGAGGTCTGGCTTCGCGCCTATCTCTGAAGCGAGCTCGTCCAAGTAGTCGATATAATCGGTCTGCAGTGTCTGACTCTGACTCTTTCCAAACCTTAATGAAGAACGCAGAGAGGGCAGATTCACAAAATGTTATAAGTCACATAAGAACAGTAGGTGTTCGAGGGCTGTTGAAAGAAAGAAGGGCTGAGTGAATGAATAAATGAGTTTTGAATGAATCGCCAGTGGAAGGTGTGAGCTTATCTCATTAGAGGGCCCAGATCTCAGATTGAGAGTAGGCCGTGAAAGGAATAGTCATGAATTCATGGCAGTTCTGGGAATGTGACAAGGTTTAAGACCAGGATTATTACTTGGTATTTAGTGAGTAGCTTCAATTCTCCAGGCAAGTACAAATTAATCAAGATGGCTGCAAAGATTCATGAGCGAATGCAGATGAAATCCGAGCTCAGTGTCTTGCACAGAAAAGATACTTAATATTTACCTGCTAAATTATGAAAGTACTTGGCACTGTGGCTGGAATGTAATAGATGCTCAGTAAATGTTAGATTAATTAGAATTTAACCATGAGAAAACCCCTATGTATGAGGCCCCCAAGTCAACTGTCCAAGGGTGCTTGATCACTACTGAACCCCATTCTACCGTATCACAAAGTATGCTTCTTTGAACTTTCACATCAACTCCTTTTATAATTTAGTTTGATAGGACATCCCCCAGCTATCCTTCCAGAGACACTCAGGCCATTGTCACCATCACTGCCCCATCCAATTTCCTCTCTAACCACAGAGAGCGGGCAGCCTGAGAAGATATGCAATTGAACACAGGCATCACACAAAGCCGGATAAAATTAAGTCCAGGAAAAATGTCCTGATTTGGTAACACTTCTAGCTTTACGTAGTTGGTTCTTAAACTAATATGTATAAGAATCACCTAGGGAGAACATAAAAATACAGGTTTCCAGTCTCATCTGGAGGTTCTGATTCAGTTGGTCTGGGTTGTGACCCAGGAAATGTTTAAGAAACAGCTAGGTGGTTCTTGTGGGTAGTCAGATCACTATGCTTTGAGAAACACTGCTCTGTGTAAAGAATTAGAAAAAAAATTCTTACAGATCTATTCTTTTTTCATTCCTCTTGATAGTGTCCGCCATCATAGTCCTCTCTGAGGGCAAGGTACACAAGCCTAGAAATAAAAGGCTGGTTTGAGTAGTGGGTTTGGTTCAGTATCCTTGCTTTATCTAGTACTTGATTCCCACCATTAACCTCTGACCCCTGTTACGCCAGTCAGGGCTGCTGTGTTGTTGAACTTTGGGGTGTGCTGCTCTTCTTGAGTTCTAGGTGATGCTGCCCGTAAGGGGAGCGTGGGCTACTGTGTGAACTCTGAGGTGGAGAGAGTAAGAGAAGTGGCTGGAGAAGGCAGGTGAGCCTGAAGAGCTGGAAGCCACGCCAGGTGGCTTGAGCTGTATCCTGAAGGTGATAGGAAGCCATGGGAGGATTTTCTGCAGGTGGTGACAAGATCAGATTTGCCTTTTGGAAAGATTCTTCTAGCTGCTGAATTTTGGAAAATGGGCTCCAGGGAAGTGAGTTTAGTGGCAGCGAGACCAGTTAAGAGGCTGTTGAAGTAAGCCTGGTGGAGGTAAGGTCGAGCAGTGGGGACAGAGAAAGTAGATTGATGTAGGAGTTATCACTACGTGCTTGTGATTACATCTCTGTCCACGGGTGTTCTTGGGCATGTTGAAATGGTCAGTCTCCCCTGGATATCGCTGGTCATCAGACATACCAGAGTCAACGAGTCCATAACCAAGCGCGTCATTAAAGCCCTCCTGGTCAGACTTACATCTTCTTCCACACATCCTCTCTCTTCCCTTCTTCTTCTTCTGTCCTCTCTATTCATAGCCCTGCTGTCCCCCCAGTTCCCATACTAGAGATCTGAAAGTCATCTGTGATTCCTGTCTCTCTCTCTGATTTTCTACATTCAGCTGATCATTATGTCCTGAGGATTTTATCCCTAATTATTTCTCACATTTCTATCACCTTCACTACTTTCTCTCTGCCTGGCTCAGCTACATCGTGTTTCAGTAGAGACTTGCAGACCAGCCTTCTCACTGGTCTCCAAGACCTCATTCTTTTCTCCTTTCAAATCTATGTTCCACACTAATGCTGAACTAATCTATTGAAAATGTAAATCTGATAATGTCTCTTCTTTGCTTATAACCTCTCATTGGGTCCTCTGGCTGCAAAGCTTTCTAAAATGGAGATTCTAGGTCCTCAAGCCAGACTTAATCAGGGTCCCTAAGGGTCCACCAGATGATTTTTATGTGTAGCCAGATTTGGAAAGCGCTGACCTAAGTTTTGTATTGTAACCTTCTTAGCATGCCTTACAAAGGCTCCTGTGTCCTGGCCCCTTCTCCAGAAAGAATAATCTCTCACCCCTCTCTGCCTCATGTGTCAGGTTCTGGGAACAACAGACAGCTTATAATTCTCCACATCCATCATGCCTCTGTGCTTTGGCTCAAGTGATTCCCTTTTTTGCACCTGAGAAACCTGGTCATCTAGGAAGTTTTCCTTGACCACATGCCCTCCTTTACCCCACTCTGCTGCTGCTAAGCATCCTTTCTCTTCTTCCTATACCCTCCATGCATTCTTCTACCAAAGCATTTTTCTTAGTATGTGGAAATGATCTGTTTAAATTTCTCTCTAGGGTTGCCTGGGTGGCTCAATTGAGCATCTGACTCTTCATTTCGGCTCAGTCATGATCCCAGGATCATGGGATCAATGGGCTTCATGCTGAGCACTGAGCCTGCTTAAGATTCTCTCTCCCACTGCCCCTCTCCCCCACTTGTGTGTGCTCCCTCTCTCTCTCAAATAAAAAAAAATTTTCTGTCTATTTCACCAGGTTCCAGCACAAGGCTAGGTATTCAATGAGTTTTGGTTGAGCTGAATTTGAACCCTGGGGTCAGGGAGGAATGCAAAAGGCTGTACAGATACTTAGACAGAAAACTTTCAATAGCTTTATGACTTTGTAAGGACCTGTGAGGTTGAGTTTCTTAACATATTAAGGGCTGGGGCACCTGGGTGGCTCAGTTGGTTGAGCTTCTGACTTCGGTTCAGGTCATGATCTCACGGTTTGTGGTTCGAGCCCCACGTCAGACTCTGTGCTGACAGCTCAGAGCCTGGAGCCTGCTTTAGATTCTGTGTCTCCCTCTCTCTCTGCCCCTCCCCTGATCACACTCTGTCTCACTCTCTCTCTCAAAAATAAATAAACATTAAAAAAATTTAAAAAATAATACTAAGGGTTAATTTGGAGTTAATGCAGAAAGGCCCTGGGTCTCTGGATTTGCATGTATTCAGAGGAATTTATAAACATCATCTAGGTAAAACTGGGAGTCATAGATCTTTTTTTTCTCAACTATTCTCTCATGATTCCAGGAAAGGATAGTATGTACTTAGCTTTATGACAATTGAAATTCTATGAACTTTCTAATATTTTAAAAGGATGATTGCAGATATTTAGTATTATTTTATCTCTGTATTTGCTACTTTGAAAATTCTCCACTAACTTTTTAGGATGTTAATCTCACGAGAGCAGCCCAAGTTTGGCCACATTCTTACTGTCAACCTCTGTGTCTAAACTTACTATTGAGCAAGCTCCATCAGGTGTAAAACCCTCAGCCCCTCATTTGGCCCCTCACGTACCTTTGAAAACTCTGGTTGCCCAACGAGCTTGAAGTTCAACAGTTGGGAAAATGGAGCCTAGGGGCTGGATGAAACCAATGCATGCCAGAGTTGACTTCTCCAGGTGAGGAGGGAACATGTACTTATACAGTGAGACCGTATTATCCTTTACTTTAACAAGTGACTCTTCCAGGAAGGGAAAAGAGAAAGTATATCCCGTTGCAAAGACAATGACATCAATATCCTCCTCCACTGTTCCATCTTCAAAGATGGCAGAAGTTTCTGTGAGCTCTATCACTCTTGATTTCACCTTGATGGCTCCATAGAGTATACGACTTGGAAGATCATCATTTACTACAGGTTCTTTCATGAGATGTCTGAAACACCAGAAGAAAATACTTAGAAGGAACATTTAATAAGGAGTCCTGGAACTCTCTTGATATTTTATGGGGTTGGGCTCTTTGAATGAGGTTTCTCAAATATCCACAAAACTTTCTTTCTTTTTTTTTTTTTTAAAGAGAGAGAGAGAGAGGAGGGGGAGGGGCAGAGGGAGAGGAAGTGAAAGAATCTGAAGCAGGCGCCACACCCAGCACAGAACCCTATGTGGGTTTGGAGCTCACAACTGTGAGATCACCGTCTGAGCCAAAATCAAGAGTGAGACGCTCAACTGACTGGGCCACCCAGGTGCCCCTATCCGTAAATCTTTCTAACTTAACTAGTTGGTCTACCCCGAACCTTACTATCTTGATAACTTTATTCTTATATCACAAATCTCTCCCTCAACAAAGAAGGGAAGGCATGTAAGTGATGTGGGTAAAAGACATTTCAAAAGAGGAGGCATTCCCAAGGACTTAACCAAAATACCAGGGTCAGTCCCTGAATATTCCAGTCATGATTATCCCATTGATATTTTCACTATTGTTTTATGTTATCTGCCTTTAATTATCATGCTGTTCCCATTTAATCTCTATCTGATCATAAAGTAAGAAAGGAGAATTTAGTTAAATCCCCATTCGTTTTGAAACTTTATTAAGGGATTAGTATTACAATGAATGTATAAACTGAAGTTTGGGAATATTTGTTCATCCCAAATATCCACGGAGTCTCTGTATGTGATAGCATGGGTGATAAAGTCTGGTTGTATTTCTGGAATTCCTTTTTGTAGATTTGAGAAACATTTTTTTAATATAAGAAAATACATGCTACATGTATTAGATATCAGAGCTGAGCAGTCATATGGTGTTTGTTAAAAGATTCCGAAGCTCTTGTGTTTTGTGTATATATATATTTTTTTACGTAAGCTTCACACCCAGCATGGAGCCCAATGCAGGGCTGGAACTCACAACCCTGAGATTAAAATCAGAGCTGAGATCAAGAGCTGGATGTGGGGCACCTGGGTGACTCAGTCGGTTGTGAGTTCGAGCCCCATGTCAGGCTCTCTGCTGTTAGCACAGAACCTGCTTCATATCCTCTGTCCCCCCCCCTCTTTGCCCCTCCCCTTCTTGTACTGTCTCTCTGTCTCTCTCAAATAAATAAACTTAAAAAAAAAAAGAATTGGATACTTAACCAACAGAGCCACCCAGGCACCCTCTGTTTTTGTATTTTTTTTAAAGGGAAGGAGCCCGCTATCACTAAAGAAAAACAAACATTCATAATGTTTGCTTGTGTTTATAAGATCAGCGATATATAACTTCGAGCTCAATAGAGATTTATTTTTTGGCAAAGAGGTAGTGAATATGTTCTCAAAAGCCACTCATAGGAAGAACCCTTATGGTGTACAGAGTTAGCAAAGCATTAGTTCACATGGAGAATTTGGGACACATGTCCCACTACACCCTTCTGAAAGGAAGGTCACAATCTCTTAGAGAAGCCTTTTCCAAGGCAACTGATGGGATGGGAGAAGATATTTGCAAATGACATATCGGATAAAGGGTTAGTATCCAAAATCTACAAAGAACTTATCAAACTTAACAGCCAAAAAACCAAATAATCCAGTGAAGAAATGGGAAGAAGGCACAGATACTTTTCAAAGAAGACATCCAAATGGCTAACAAACACATGAAAAGATGTTCAACATCACTCATCATCAGAGAAATACAAATCAAAACCACGATGAGATACCACCTCACACCTGTCAGAATGGCTAAAATTAACAACTCAGGAAACAACAGATGTTGGCAAGGATGTGGAGAAAGAGGAACCCTTTTGCACTGCTGGTGGGAATGCAAACTGGTGCAGCCACTCGGGAAAACAGTTTGGAGTTTCCTCAAAAGATTAAAAATAGAACTGAACTGGGAAGATGGCGGCGTAGGAGGACGCTGGGCTCACCGCGCGTCCTGCTGATCACTTAGATTCCACCTACACCTGCCTAAATAACCCAGAAAACCACCAGAGGATTAGCAGAACGGAGTCGCCGGAGCCAAGCGCAGACGAGAGGCCCACGGAAGAGGGTAGGAAGGGCGGCGAGGCGGTGCGCGCTCCACGGACTGGCGGGAGGGAGCCGGGGCGGAGGGGCGGCTCGCCGGCCAAGCAGAGCCCCCGAG